CCATATTTCCAAAGACAGTATTTAATTAGGCAAACTAAAATCTTACATAACAACTTGGAGATTGGAGTTAGAAGAAATATAAAGATAATCATTTGCATTTCTAAAACAAAACAAAAATTAGTAAAAATAAAATGATGATTGAACTTCAGGGGGGAAAAACTATTTAAACCCAGCAGTTTATTCAGAAGTGGCTCCTACAGCTTAAGATGATAATTCATGAAATTGTCACAAATCACATGGAAATACAACAATAATGAAGAAATCAAGTATAGTTGTCACTGTAATGTATGACTTTTGGAGGTGCTGAAATTTGTGTAAGAAGAATACTAAAAGATTTTCAGTTTTGAAATCAAAAGTATCCATCATTCCTTTCCAGTTTTAGAGGTTTTTATTCAGCTCCCCCTTTAACACCCACCCCCTTTTCCCCTATTAAAACTTATTCCAAAGATTAATGCTGTGCTTGATATTGGCTTTGAGCCTTGTGATATGTTAAAACCATAAAGTCTGTATGTGTATATATTTACATCTGTGTGTATATTGTACATCTAACTACATACATTTATGTGTAGTATATACATACATACACGACATGTACATACACACACACACACACACACACACACACACACACACACACCCCCGAAAGAGGTTAAGGGCATTAAGAGTTGAGTGATAACACTAAAAGGCTATGTCATCTTGACCAGCTATTTTTCTAACAAGTTTTATAGTCCATCTTCAGTAGGCTGTGCCAGTATTAGGAAGCAGTAGATAATATTTAAGTTTCTTAGATTCTTAGACTACTTTCCATGTTAAGAGAATGATGCCTGTGAAGGCAACTCAGCCAGAGACTTGGGGCACCTCACCTGCAGAGAGAGCCCGCAGCTTTGCTTTGCGTAGGAGAGCCATAGGTAAAGGAACATGAGCCTCTACCTTAGTGCTTCTCCAAGTGTGGTTCATGGAACCTGGTAGCTTCCACCTTTTCAGGGGTCCACAGGGTCAAAATTACTATTTTTTTAAGTCCTCAGCCGCGGATACGTTTTATCGATTTTTAGAGAGAGAGGAAGGGAGAGAGAAAAACATCAGAGTGAGAGGGAAACATCCATCGGTTGCCTCCCATACATGCCCTGACTGGGTATTGAATCCGCAACCTGGGTATGTGCCCTGACCAGGGAGCAAACCTTCACCCTTTTTGGTCTATGAGACAACTCTCCAACCAACTGAGCCACCTAGCCGGAGCCAAAATTATTTTCAAATGCGAAAATGTCTTTTGCCTTTTTCACTGATGGTACAAAAGCAGTGGTGGGTAAGGTGCCTTCGCATGAATCAAGATAGATGGACATACCGGACCGTACTGTAGAGATTGTAGTCTTCATTAAAAAAAAAAGCCAGTTTTATTTAATGTCCTCATTATAGTCCTCACTGTAAAATTATTATTTTAATAACTCAGCCCTTGGCTGCATGTTGTATGAATACGCTGTGGTGAGAAGGAAGAACATTTAAAGTACTTCTGCTGCCTTTTAAAGTACAATGGGTGTCTCAAGAGAAAGTCCTTATTTGAGTTGTAAGTTGAATTAGCTCCTTTATCATATTACACCATTTTTACTTGAATAAAACAGCTGATTATTCAGACTTTAGAATGTGGAAGACTTTTTCAAAATGAATGAAGTGACACTTTGAAAAGAACAACTGATATTACAGTTATATTTGCTGCCAGAAATGAATTTCAGACTTCCAAGTGATGATAAGAATTTTGGAAATCTTCTACTCCCCACCATGAGTTTGACAGCTTTACGTTACTTAAAAGCATTTCTGATGAAAGCGGTAGTGATGCTAATGAATGTGATTTTTAATATAATTTGTCAACATTTGGAAGAGCTGCGTAACTCAGTGATCTAGTATTTTCCAGATGACCAAAGCATGCATGGGTAAAAGATCCATTCAGAGTGCAAGATAAACGAATGAGTTTTAATATCAGGAGTTTGAAAAGTTGATAGTTTTCAGATTTCATATTGCAGCTAAACAAGTCAGTCTGATATATTATCAAAAGTGAATATCCACAGTTATATGAAAGGGCTGTGAAGATACTTCTACCTTTTCCAAACACATATCTGATTCATACATTTTAATCAATACAACATATCTCAAAAGATTAACTGCTGAAGCAGACCTAAGGACCCAGTTATCTTCTGTTAAACCAGATGTTAAAGAAATTTGCAAAAATGTAGAACAATGCCAGTATTCTCATTTTTGTTGTATAGAATATAGTTATTTTTATAATATATTTTATGTTAACCTGAAATGGGTTTATTTTTAAATGAGTTAATATATATATTTTTTAAATTTCTTGGTTTTAATTTCTAATATGGTAAATATTGATAGGTATAGCCCACATAAAAAAAATGCTCTTTGCCCTGGCCAGTGCGGCTCAGTTGGCTGGGCGTCGTCCTGTGCATGGAGAAGCTGCCGGTTCAGTTCCTGGTCAGGGCACGTGCCCAGGTTTTGGGCTCAATCCCTAGTAGGGGGCATGCTGGAGGCAGCTGATCAACGTTTTACTCTCACATCGATGTTTCTCTCTCTCCCTTCCTCTCTCTAAAAATCAGTAAAAAGTCTTTTTTTAAATGCTGTTTGAGGACCTTCTCTATTTTAGAGTGCACCAATGTATAGTCCTGAGATCAAAAAATTTGAGAACCACAGGTCTACCCTAGTGCATTTTATCCCTGAAACTGTTCCCCACTTCAAGAACAAGCCCGAGTCCTTCCAAGGTGTTCAGGAACTTCTCGTGAAGGGTACAGCCACCAAGCCTGTCCGAGAAGGTAGACTAGAGCACGGTACTAACTTGTCACGGCGGCCGCGTAGGATCAGCCCCGATCTGATTTGGACAAGCATTGCCTCGTGAACGAGCATCTGAATTCGCTCATTTATATATTCAACAGACAGTGTTCAAGGCCTCTGCTTTGCTAGAACTGCAGTGAGTGATGGAAATGCGAAATAGAACAAGACAATAGCTTCTGAAGCAAACTTGGAAATTAAGATGAGTTAGTGCCTGTCTGACTGCTGCTGGAACAACTGTGACGAGAAAACACTTGGGGCAGTCAGATTGTAATGATTCATTGAGAAGAAAAGAGGTCATGAAGTGTCAGAAAAGTCAAACTCTGAACTAACATGACATTTTCATGGCACTAGGAGTACACAAAGTGTTTTATTTAGATTGTATGGCTTGCCTATAACATATTTTGAGAACATGTGCGTAACATAGTTTCTACCTTCAAGAAGCTGGCCGCCTAGTGGTAGTAACAAAATGGAGTTAAGAAAGTTGTGTTTCAGTAAAATAAGGAAATCTTTTTTTTTTTTTTTTTTAAATAAGGAAATCTTATCCAATGCACAGATGCCAAGTAGATAGGTCATAGGTAAGAGCAGTGCCGAGCAACTGAATTTTCAACAGTGTGTTAAGGAACGAATCCAAAGGGAAGATACATTTCTGCTTAAGAAAAAGATAAAGCAGCGAGGCAGTTGGATAACATTTTAGTGTTTCCAAAGATAACCACCAGTAAATTCAAAGGAGTCTTGGCTTTTCTTTGGGCTGGTTATTGCACAGCCTTTTATTCAGGATTAGGGAAGGAAGGCCCAGGAAGCAAGGCCCGGGAGGGTGAGCACCAAGCGTAGCCTTTCCCTGCTCTGTAATTAGACTCTTTAAGAAGAAGGACAAACAGAGTGAGCTAGAGTATTGGGTCTAAAGACGGCAAAAGGGGAGACAGTTTTGGAGTCCTCCTTGGCCGCTTTTCCTCGTGCCATAAGATAAGGAAAGAACATCCCTTCTCACAGTAGCGGGATGAGTGATTTCCAGTCCTGGATCTAATAAAGGCAGTGGGACTGAGCACTGAGAAAGGGGAATGCAGACCAAGAAAAGGTGCGGCCGTTTCCCCTTTTCCCAGAGGCTCCGTTGCACCCAATTCATTTATCTTCTGTCATTTAGATAGAGATGAGTGTTTTCAGGACCAGCTGATTTCTCAAAAGAGGTAAAGGATTAGTTTGAGGCTCACAGTAAAATATGAGAAGTACAGGAAATAGAGAAAAGCTATCAAGTCAAAAGAACAGGGACCAAAAGGGGTGTGCGGG